ACTCTCGCGCAAACTCGCTTAACTTCGGAGTTCCGATGAAACCCGAAGCCAATGAGCTCCCAAAATGCCTTGTGCTAGGTAGAGATGGGAATATACATATAAGGCTTAGAGGATTCACTCCCCTGGACGATGTAGGATGTTACAAAATTACCCTTGTAGTTAATTAGTTAAAAATAAATTTTTTAATAAATAAATGGAAAAACAAAATCAAAATAAACAAATTATATTAAAACATTAAAAAATAAAATGAAACCCTAGATGCATGTCTTATATCATTGGATCCTTCATCCATGCCCTTAGCCGGCACCCTAAATGCATATATATATATATTATCTCTTCTTCCAAATGAAACCCTAGATGCATGTCTTATATCATTGGATCCTTCATCCCTGTCAATTTCTTAGCCGGCTCCCTAAATGCATATATATCGTATCTCTTCTTCCCTTGCAATTGCTTAGCAAGCACACCCGGTGGGATGCAGTGAACATCCTAAGTTAGAGAAATATTTTCCTTTGTTGATCTCATGCTGTTCACAGGCTCCACCCAAAGACAAAGGGGCATATTTTACAAGGTCTTTTTTTACTGAAGGATTGGATTCAATAACATGCATAGCCATTGATTCTCTTGCTGTAAGGATTTTCTGCTGATCATAACGAAAAAGCTTATGTAGAAAATCAATAGCCTCTGGAGAAGCTAGATGCCGATTTCCCACATTGATAAATCTTAGAAGAGGATTTCTTTGGGTTTTTTTTTTCTTCTAATGTTTAAATGTAATTTTTGATTTATTTATCTATAAATGTTATTTTTAATAATTAACTACAAGGGTATTATCGTCCTTAAGGGATTCTTAAGGGGTGGATGTGAAAGTGAATTAAAACGTGAAAGAGTGTTGGTGTAATGTTTCAAACCTTAGGGGATTTTGTGCAAAAAGGATAAACCTCAAGGGGTGAGTGTGTAATTAACCCCATTGATATGTTGTGGTTATTATGTCTACAAGTTCAATTAACCGCAATTTTGCTGTTTGGTGTTTCTAGTTAGCAAGTGATAGAGCATGGTCAAAGAGAGGACCGTCTAGAAAATCTTTGGTGTCATTAGGTATAATCTCATATGTTATTTTACAGAATTTTGGTCTCACTAGTAGGCACAGTTGTGTGTGGCTTAGTTAGTGTCAGTAGGTATAGTCTCCACTAGTACGCATTTTTTTGGTCTCAACCCCAAAAAATTAAAGAAAAACTAATGAAAAGTTTAAAAAAAAACTTCTCTTTTAACGAAAAGCCATTTTTACAGGTATAGTGAATAGTAACAGTTAAAGGTAAAAATATGGTTTTTCGTTAAAAGTGAACAGTACCAAAAGTATTTTGTTAAAACTCCTGAAAATTAAACCTAACTTGACGGATCAATTCATTTAAAAAAGAAAAGCATTAATACAAGCATAACGCAATTTACAAGCACCAAATAAATCAGTCATAAGAGCTGGCCCAACCTTGGTAGGAGGATCACTGAATTCAAAGTTGTTCCATGTTAAAACTCTAATTCACCATTTGGTCAGCAACACAATTCTCTTCGAAGTAAGATTCTCTCTCATTCTAATCTCTCTCATCTTCCATTCTCTCCTATTTAAACAATTACGAATAAACCACGTCAACATTTTATTTTTGAAAATTTTATATAGAGAAAAGCAAAAATGAAAAATGAGAGGAGGAGAATGAAGGAAATGGTAATATAAAGGAAAATAATCATAATCCCCTTAAAAATATGTTTCAACTCGTATCTTACTAAGTGTCTTATCATTAATCTACAACTGCTCAAATTCATACGATTCATACGAAAAGAATGAAAGTTGTTAATCAGATTTTCACGTGAACTCTTTATAATTCTAATGTAGAAAGTCCATACCAAAAGTCTTTAAGATAAATAATATATGTACCTTTTTTTTTAATTTTTTATTCTTGATCATCCAAACATAGAAAACGATGGAATAATTACTCTCACAATTTTATGTCATAATTTTGATTCTCACCTTCTATTCACTAAAAACAAGAGCTAAGCCCAAAGTAAGAAAATGGCTGGCCCACTAAAGGAGCAATATGATGAATGGAGAAAGAAGAGGCCGTTAACATGAGGTCAATCTGTGTGGGGTTAGTTGAATATGTAATTAGGATTTCTTATAATTTTATAGTTTTTCTATTCTCTTGTAATTAGCTTGTATAAATATTGCCTACATACAAAGAAGAATATTATTCAGAACTTCCCCAATATTTTAGCATGGTACTGAGAGCATGACGATTCTAGAATCATTCTCCTACATATGTGATCCCCAAATTTTAAATTTCAACACACAAATCAAATCTCAAACACAACTTCAAATTAAATTCCTCAAATTTTTTTTTATCCTACCTTTAAATCTAATTCCTCAAAAGCCTAAAATCTAAAAATCATTCATACAAAAATACAGGCTACATCACATCAGGCGGTGCCTCTGCATCATGACAGACTAGTACTTAGATTATTGATTTTGGAGTGACGGATCACGGATCATATGACATGTGACCCGAGATTATAATCAAATCTTTTCATCCATGTTGGCAGTCGTTGTCTACGTCTGATGCTACTCCCGCAACTGTGATTGGGGAGAGCTCAATCTATCATAGAAACTCTTGCATATGTACTCCATCTTGGTGGTTCCCTTCTTAAATTACAACTTGTTGTCTATGCTCAAATCACAGATACCTTGTTTCGCGCTATTTCAGAGTATGATTCAAGTTCTTCGTTCTAATAATGTCGGTGAGTTTGTGAGTCATGAACTATCACAGTATTTGCATGATCATGGAATAGTTCATCAGAAGTTCACTACGTACACTCCTCAACATAATGAGGTAGCGGAGGGGAAAAATCGTCATATAATGGAAATTGTTCGGGCTTCTCTATTCGAAGCCAATATGCCGCAATGTTTCTGGGGAAAAACCGTGATATCTGCAGCTTACCTGACTAATCGTGTTCCTTCCAGTGCCTAATTTTAAAACTCCAATTCAGACTCTTTATCAACATCTAGAAGTATCACCTCAGCAAAATCTTGAGCCTCGGGTCTTTGGGTGTGTAGCGTTCGTTTAAGTTCACAAGCATCAGAGAAGTAAATTGGATCCATGTTCGGTGAAGTGTGCCTTCATGGGTTATGGTCTTGATCAAAAGGGGTACCGGTGCTATGATCTGACTGTATAGAAAATGCATGTCACTATGGATGTGTGTTTTTAGTGAATACGAAATGTATTACTCAGGAGGTTCTTAAAGAAAGAACTGCACTATAAACATACTTGTCCCAAGAGTTTGAGATGAAGGACATTGGTCCTTTCAAGTATTTCTTGGGGATTGAAGTGTTCAAATTGCTGAAAGGTATTTTCCAATTTCAACGGAAATACGTGACATAATTGCTAACAGAGACTGGAATGCTTGCTTGCAAACTTGTTGATACACCTATAAAGATGAATCACAGGTTTTGTGAGTAAGAATATCAAACACCAACAAACAAGGAACACTACAAACACCTTGTTAGGAGGTTAATATATTGGGCACACACCAGACTAGATTTTACATATGCAGTAAATGTGGTTAGTTAGTTCATACATGCTTTTAGTATTTAGCATCATAGTGTGGTTGATCGCATTTTGAGATCTAAAGGCTACCCCGGGGATAGGACTTACGTTTTCAAAACATGGTCACTGGATGTTTCTAGGTATACAAATGCAGAGTTGGCAGGTTATTTTGCGTTCATTTCACATTGTTGGAGGCAATCTCATTACCTGGTGAAGCAAGAAACAAAATGTTGTTGCTAGATCAAACACTGAGGCAGAGTTTTGAGGTGTATCTCATAGCATTTGTGGGTTGTTGTGGATTTGAAATTTACTTTCAAACTTGAGCTTTAGAACATGGAAACCAATGAAGTTTCATTGTGATAACAAGGCTGCGATCAACATTGCTCACAATCCAATTCAACATGATCAAAATAAACATGTTGAAGTGGATCGACATTTCATCAAAGAGAAATTGGAAGTTAGACTAATTTCTGTACCATTTTGTCAAGTCTGAAGATCAACTGACAGTTGTTCTTACAAAAGTTGTGTCTAGCAAAGTATATCATAGCTCGCTCAACAAGTTGGGCATTGGTGAAATCTATGCACAAATTTGAGGACTGTTAACGTGAGCTCAGCCTGTGTGGGCTTATTTGTCATTGTAATTAGGGTTTCCTACAATCTTATAGTTTTCCTTTTCTCTTGTAATTAGCTTGTATATATATTGGCCTCCGTACGGAGAAGAATACTATACAGAATCCCCAAATATTTTAGCAGAGGCACGCCAAAGTTGTAATTTTAATTCATCTGAAATTTTGTGATTGTAGGTTAGATGAATTCATGACAGGATTCAGTGCAATCTCGTTGAAGTTAAAGGAAATGTATCAGATTGGTAAACTGATTTCTCTTTCTCTCGCCTCTCTCTCCCTCTCTCTCTCTCTCTCTCTCTCTCTCTCTCTCTCTCTCTCTCTCTCTCTCCAATTTGTGATGGACTTTATATTTCTTTCTCTGCCTCTCTCTATCTCTGATACTGTTTATGTTTATTTCCTTTGTTCGGTAGGGATTTTTTCTCGAATCTTTTCTTCATAGTTGCGCCCTAGGTACTTTTTTCAATGAATGGTAGAGCTAAATTCTAATTTTATATCATATCAGTTTACGCATCTTTTGTATTCCTTTGACCATCATCCTTTTATGCTTGATGTCATTGTAGACTTAAAGAACGTTTCAGCCGTGGGACATTACGTGAACAGAAGGACCGCGAAAGATGCCCAGTTCGTAAGCATAAGGTTGGTTGATTGCTGTTAATGGATTATAACTGGAACTACTGATATCAAATTCACTTTGAGCTGTCGTTTCACATAACATTTTATATTGCTTGCATCCTAAGGAACAAAATGTTTGAGTTGGGCGATAGATTGGTTGGGATATATATATATATATATATATATATATATATAAACAGATAATTGAACGAAGAGCATTATCTTCAATCCAGAGAGTTTTCTGGTATGCGTAAGTTTCTTTACACTATTTGCTGACTTTTGGAAGTTCATATAATTATATTGATCTGTACTCAGAAATTTCAAGCTGAATCCAGAGGGTCTCTGAAGGTAAGTTGTCCGTTGCTGTCGCTCTTGATTCGACGAAGGTTGAATGCGAATGAGGGTGGTGAAACTGCCTGGATGGGGTTATCGCTGACCCGAATGAAGCTGTAGGACCATGAACCAAGTAGGGCTCCTATCACTGGTCCAACGACATAGACCCATATTCCTTTGTAGTATGCACTAGCGATTGCTGGCCCTATTGTTCTTGCTGGGTTCATTGATCCACCTGATATTGGTCTGTGTATTCACAAAAACCATGCATGTTAGCTGTTTCACTTGCTTAAATATATGCACGACATGTTTGTCTAGTCTCTCGTTTTTTGTTTTTTATTGCATGTTTGTAACCAGTCCTGTTTGTGTGCATCTCCATAATCTTTTACTTACCCGGCAAAAATTGAAGTTATGCAAACCGCGGAGCCAACTGCGATCCCTGCTAGTTCTCCTACCTGTTGTGAACAGACCCCATTGAAATGCCACATAAAGAGTTTAAATTTCGTTGTTTTTTTTTTTTTGGTCGAAGAAAAGAGATAGAAATTCATGTCAATATAAATATCTGTGGAAACGGTACAGCTTTGGTATCAGTTGCGACAGCAGAGGCGATGAACACCATGGAAAATGTCATGATTATCTCTGCGATCAAAGCTTGGGTCTCTGATCCAGAAGGTGATGTGGTGCCTAGTTGTTTAATTGGGTGCAACAGTACATACAGGGTAAACGAGGCAGATATTGATCCTGCTAGTTGAGCTACTGCATAAATTGGGACCTGAAAAGAAAGGTCCATAAGTATTTGTGGTACAAAAGTATATGGTATACATTCCTAAACCACTACACCAACTGACTAACTTGTTGAAAAGAGGACCATGAATGTACATGGTATACAATTCCTAAAAATCACAATAAAGATTTGGCAGTCCAAATTCTTTTTTATTACTTCAGGGCTCCAAAAGCCTTTTGGGAACTTTTATATGCTTTTAATTTTTTTTATTCATACAATGGTATCTCTTGAAAATGAGAGAGAATTGGATTAAGCCACAAAAAGAGTTAAGAATAAGGATAGTGCTGTTCACTCATTCATTTTTACTTTCTATACACTCTTGTTAACTTTTAGCCATTAACTTTTTTTAATTCATTCGATCCAACGATCGAAAATTGAGAAGAGTGTGTGATAAGTAAAAGTATGGATAGCACTACCCAAGAATAATAACTAAGTATTGAACTTGTCATAAAAGCAAGTCGAACTTCATAGACCTTTCACATATAAGTATAGAGGAATACAACTAAATTACCTTGTTTGTAGCTTCAGGAGACTAAATTTCAAAATATTCAAATTACTGGTAAAAGAATTTGAACTTGTAAGGGGATGAGCACACATCTACTTAATTGGACTAACTCACATTTGTACTTAGATAAGAAACCACACACAAGTATTTTATAAACTTTTTGGGTTTTTTTTCTCGAAGGGTGGGGGAATTGAATTTAGAATCATGTGTATAAAAGTAAATGCTCTTTATTACTTGAGCTAGAAAAGCCTTATAAAATCTTTGGGTGAGGGACTTACAAGTATTAAAGAGATTGAGATCAAGTTAAATAATGTGTCATCAATAGAAAATAAGCACGTTAATCAATAATTAAGTAATAATCTAATCATCTACCACAACATTATTGGTTTACAAATTTGGTCTCCCTAACGTTACATGTAGATCAGAGGGATTAAAAATACATTACATGTGCAGTACAAAGACATGTGAAAAGAATTTGCAAATCACTCATTGGAAGGTGTTATTTGTAAATTCCTCTTACATATTCTTAAATGATCTTGTAGTGCATTTTTAAGAGAAGAGCTCCGGATCTCTTCCACCAAGGCCACTGAATCAAGTGATTCGGACCTTTCAAATTTCATCCAACGACCCACATGTTTTGACCCTCTTAAAAGCTGTAATAATTTTTTTGTCATTGGATGAAATTTGAAAGGCCCGAATTACTTGATCCGATGACTTTGGTGAAAGAGATCCGGAGAGGATCTCTTGATTATCTCATTCATTTTTAATCCCTCTTATCTGAATTTTGTAATAATTTTTTATATACTTGGCCGTGGGCCCAAATGGGCCTTAGTTTGGACCATACACAAGCATCTATCATGCGAGTTTCATGGGGCTTTCTATGGCATTATATTGTCCATAAGTCACGTTGCACACATAGTTCCGAAACGAGGAAATAAAATAAAAAATTTGCAATTCCATTAACTTTCTAAGTGCTCCATAACAAAACAGAAACATGGGGACCTCAGAAGGCTAGCTGTAAGTGTACCTGTTTCCATGGAAAGTGCCTAACGGCGGCGAAAGCAAGAGTGACGGCCGGGTTCATGTGTGCACCGGAGATGTGGCCGACCGCATAGATCATCACGGTTATGATGAGCCCTCCTGCAATAGAAGCTCCAAGCTTTGAGACTTGGTGTTCGTCGCTGGCAGCAAGAGCAGCCGAGCCAGCCGTGGCAAACACCAACATATACGTTGCTATCATCTCTGCAACCACCTGCAAACATATATATATATATATACACACACACACATATGAAGTTGGATAATTTTTCTACTGAGTTACATTAATTCATTTAAACTGTGGGAAAGAAGATTCGAACTTGAGTTCAAGGAGAAGTACAGTATTCTATCTGCGAAGTTGGATAATTGAAGAACATGATGAAAGTATATGGTTGCAACAATAGCAGAAGTATATATACAATGTTTGTACCTTTTTGAAAAAGCCATGTGGGTAATATGGTTGTTCAACAATCGGTGACTGCGGATTGTGATCATATGTGTTTGGATTTTGGGAGGTTGCCGGGTGGTTTTCTGGAGAGGCTAACTGATCAATTGGAGCCATTTCTCGATTCACAATAAAAAACCTGGAATACAAAAAAATTATAAACTAGTGATGGAAGAAACTAAGTAGTGCAATGGTTGCAGCAGCTCTTGACGGATAACTATGTCATCCTCCAGGCTGGTTTGGTTCCTAGTAAGAGCTTAGTTGATCACTACATATAGAGTCCAACAATTCATTGCCCTATGTGGGGAGACTTTGATTGATGGAAAAGAAGAGAATAAAATAAGGTTGCGAAAATGACTATATTATTTAGAGAGAGATATTTATGTTGCGGCTAACTTTATTTATAAAAAAAGACATGCAGTTAACATGTCATTTAGAAACTATCGATATTATTGTTAAGTTGACATTATGAAGTTACACTTTTGTCAAATATTATTGTTATGATTATTGATATGTCGTGGTTATTATGTCTACAAGTACAATTAACTGCAATTTTGCTGTTTGGTGTTTCTAGTTAGCAAGTGATGAGCATGGTCAAAGAGAGGACCGTCTGGAAAATCTTTGGTGTCATTAGGTATAATCTCATATGTTATTTTACAGTATT